GAGGTACAAATAAAATACATTTTATAATCTGCACAGCTGCATGATGCATCACTCCTCCACACATGTTGCTGTTTGCTGAGCTAACATCTGATCAGTATGATTGTTCTCCCAGCCATGGGGAATTGAGACTAAAGGCAAAAGGTAAAAGTGGTCTCACATGATGTTGCTTCACACCTTTGAACTCTCCACACAGCTCCCTCTGGAGACCAGGGCTCTGGATATGAAGACTTGAGGTGAGTGGGGTTGAGGAGGGTCACAGGGAGTTACCGGCATTGGAAGCTGACAGTTAGAGAGGAGAGGAGAGCTCACGTTACACCAGGCTCTGCACTGGCTGCCTGTCTGCGTCACAACTGACTTTAAAATCCCTTTATTGGTGTTGAAGGCTCTAACCAGTTTTGGCTCTACCTGCTTAACAGATTGACTTTTCTGTCCCTCCAGGACCCTCAGGTCTTCTGGTTGTGGTCTTTTAATTAAAGTCAATACTATAGTGCACGTCTCTGAAAAGGTGGAAAGAGAAAAAACATTACATAGATCCAGACAAAGGGTGAGACATTTTAACCACCTTCCCGGGAAATAATGCATTGATGTTGATTAGAAAAATCAAGGCTGTTATTTAAATAAAGGAGAACAGTCATTGATTCATAGTCATTGAATAAGTGATTGAGGAGAAAGATGTTAAAGATGTTAAATTAGGTTTATCTGGTTAGATTACTGAAAACCACAGGGGTAGTGTATGTATATTGCAGTCACATTAACAGTAACAGATGTCACGGGCAGTGTTTGCTGACTTGTGCACTGACTACAGAGAAGTGCCTGTGAGCTGAGCCCCTCCTTCCTGCTCTATACATTCAAGAACATGTTGTTCTTTGGCTGTCGGCCTGAAAACACACCAGCACATCCTCTGAGTGCAGCGCATGTGAATGCCTCAAATCTGACTGACTGCTTTCAAAAAGCTACTGTGAACACTGAGACAACACCTATCATATTTGATCTTTTTTTGTTTTCCACATATGATTTTCATCATATTTATAGTATGTATATTTGTTTATATTCATATTTATATTATATATAAATTAAAATATTTCATTTGGCTTGGAAAATAAAAAACATAATATGTAAAATTATTTCATTCATTTCCACACAACTAAATTCCAAATATAAGACCACACTTGAATATACTCACATAATCTACCTGTAAGAAAGTGAGCTCTCTCATTCCCTGACTAATATAACCATGAGTCTTCCAGGGTGCAACCTGGCTTTTGACGGAAATGGGAACTGGCCCTGTGATTGGTTTATTGTGTGTTATGCCCAAAACACAGCCATGATTAATTAAGAGACTTAAGAGTACAACCCTTTTAAAGCAGGACCCAGACACAAAGTGGATTTGACGTGGACACACCCTGAATGCACATCACCGTGTGCATTAGACCATGTCTTGTTCAAATAGAGCCTCTGATTCTCCACTATCTTGTCTGGGAGTCGAGGGTTCCTGCTCTCCTATTGGCTGCTTAACGTTCATGTCACAGCTGTTTCCAGCAGGTCCCCAATTACCCCCCCCCCCTCCTTTTAGCTCCATTTCACCAACAATATCTGCCACTACCATCCTTCCCCCTCCCAGCTCCTTCTCACTTAGTACACTGTGTACCCATATGAACATAATGAACACTGAGCGCTGCCGTATTGTTGTCTGCTGTGTGTGAGCTGCAGCATGTGCATATCTATAGTGCAGGAAGTATTGTTGGAGCTTTCCCTGGCCCCCACCCAGCATTAATCTTCTCATTCTCATTAATTCAGCAGGCTAATCAGACTGTACTGCACAGCAGGGTTTGTTTCTAACCAGGAGTCTCATTAAAAATGCTGCATTCACACAAAGCAGGGCTTCGACAAGAATGCATTCACCAAAAGTTTACGAGACAATGTGCTCACCTACTGAAACTCAAGAACATTTTAGATTTGCAGGAAATTGGTTATGAAGATGATTAGGTGGTGAGCAGAAATCCAATATGAGAGGCAGCATATATGTATAATAATAATAATAATTATACACTTTTTTATTTAGCACCTTTAAAAACTGAATTTGCAAAGTGCTTGAGAGCAAAGCAAAAAAGCAAATAATGATAAATAACAATTGGCATCAATGATGTTGAGATGGTCACAAAAAGAGTTTAAATAAAATAAATACATTTAAATAGTAGATCACATAAAAGCAGGAAAAGGACAATATGAATAAATAAATAAGTAAATTAAATAAAACGTGATAATGAAACAATAAAAACACGATAAAAACATGGCACTGGACTATACAATGCCTGTCTCATGTTTAATTCATAATAATTATGACCAAAATTAACACAATTCGTATCACGTATAACTTGTGGTGTATAAATTAATACCAAGAGGTGAGTCTCTGTGCCTCCGCTGGTCAATCCATACTCCTGTGAAACATAGACCTCAAGGCTACCTCCTCCATGTCTGATCATGCTTTATCTCAGAATATGTCCTATTTGCTGCATTATCAGCTGCTGCAGCCATCAGCCCTTAGACTTTATCTGTAACACTGCCTCCCTTCCGCACAGGAACAATATCTACATCAATATTCATGAGGGATTTAGAGCAAGAGGCTCTCCAGAGTGCACACATTTGTGTGTAGGTTTTTTGAATACACACATTGCACCCTTAGAGTATAGATCATGTTTATAAATGATGTCCCAGGACTGTGACATAGCAGCTCTAGTCTCCTGTGGAGCTGATTTCATACTCACCTATTATTCTGTCCTCCTCAAATCACAAGTATTTGCACTTATTAACCATACTACACACAAATTACCATTCAATTCAATTCAATTTTTTTTGCGTAGCACCATATCATAATATACATTATCACATTATCACAAGGCACTTAACATAGAAGGTAGAGACCTTTAAATTATAGACAAACCCAACAGTTCCCACTGTCCCCAATTTGCAGCACTTTGCAACTGTAGAGAGAAAAACATGTATGGATGGGTGACCTCGACTCGAATGAGGTCATTTAAGCCTAAATATCCACTACCAGAAGTAGCGATGCTACCACGCACCCCGCGCATGCCTTTGTGTGTGTGTGTGAACAGGGCTCCAAGGACATTTATGCTAAAACATGGAGTGAATAATGCTGTTTTTGGTCTAATTTGAATGTCGGGGTTTACCAACACTTGGATGACACCACAGGAGCAGTGTGGAGGGATCTTATGCCACACGCTCTGGTTTGTTACCTGAGCACACTGTACATTAGCCTGCCTAATGAGAAACATGTTTGAATTATAATTTTCTGGGCAGCTGTGGCTGAGGGGTAGAGCGGTTGTCCTCGAACCAGAAGGCCAGTGGTTTGATCCCAGTCTTCCCCGTGTATGAATGTGTGAATGGCAAACTGTACTGTAAATCACTTTGAGTGGTTTCAAGACTAGAAAAGCTTTATATAAATATTTACCATTTATGATTGTTTCCTGTTGTTTTTTTAAGTTTGAAGATGTGGTCACCAGTTACTTCAGTTGTATTAGATTTGGCTGCAACACTTCACCCGCCCCTCCATCGGCAAAGCGATGAGTAGATAATGACTGAAAATGTATCTATCCCTTAAATACTTAACCTTAATTCAAATTTCTGAAGTTTCTTTGCTTTCCTTCACTGTAGCTGTACATTCAGATACCTATAAGAACCAGTCAGTATTCTGCTGATGTGCACAGGTCAGTGACTTTGTTGAAGAACAGTGGAAACAAACCTGTTGCACAGGTTATAAGGACCTGATCAGTACATGAAGTTTACTTCACTCCAGAGTTTATGAGGCTGCATTTAAACATCATGAAAAACAAGTCGTTAACATGTTGTGCTCAGTACAACATGAGACGTGGCGTTCACAGTCAGGACTTAGTGTTAACCAGAGCGACACGCAGACATGATCCGACACCATCGATTAATAACTAAACACATGATCGTAAGTTTGTTATCTACATCATAACCATCCCGACACAAACAGAGCTAAGTGGTGTATAGGGGAGATTTGCACTGATATTTAGTCAGAGAAGTTGAAATGGAATTATTTGGAAAATAGTTAAATGTGCTGCCATGATTCATGATATGGATCCACAAGGAGTAAAACAATCAACATAAAGTAACGAGAGGTCAAATATCTAAACGTCCACGTTATTTGATCTTTTTACTCTTTTCTCATCTATAACATTTTTACTATTATTTATTTCATCTATTATTATCTGTTATTATTATCTGTCCTCTGTATGATCTTGTTCTTGATGATCTTGATCTAGTTTTTTGTTGTTTGCTTTTTAACTGCTTAATAGTATTTGCCTCCAATTTTCATTTTGAACTCATGAAGCACCAATGTTTTGAATGGGGCTTTAAAATACATCTATTAATATAACTATTATCAGAAGACCACATCTACAACTAATCACATAACGTGCTGCAGATTAATCAATTCATTTCTACAGTGCCCAGAGTGCTTTCTGTTACAGTGGGATTAATGCTGTTTGCTGTGATCTTTTAATGAGAATGCATTGGAGCAAAGGATCCTCAACATAGAACATATCAGCAGTCACTAAATGTGTAGGCTGTTGTTTGGGTGGTGACCGGAGGTTGGAGCCTGCCTGGTGTCTCTGCACTGATACAACAGAGCCTGTTGAATGATCCAGTGAGGATACAGAGGATTAGTGACAACTGTGGGAAACAGCTTCCTACAGTTGTTGCATCCACAGTCACAGTCCACTTCTGCTGATGAACATTGTGATCTTTGACTACTAAAGCGAAACACAATTTAAGATTATACTCAGATAGTTAATAGGTAGGTACAGAATGCCTTGGCTTTTGTGTAAAATTGATATCTAATACAAGTTTTTTTTTTTTTGCAAGAAAACATTTGGGTGGAGTTCAGTTGGGGAATCCAGATTCAGGACCTCTGTCTGCACAAATACACCAAACTAAAGAATATTCAATACTCCAGACAGTTTTAGTTTTGATCATTTATTTCAAGAAAAACTTCGAACATATTTACAAGACAAAAATCATGATTGTATTATGCTTTCCCACACTTCTTATGGCTGCTGTCAGCTTCATTAACAAAAAGCAACATTTGAATGAAACATTTCTGTACACACTGGAAATATACACAGAGAAAACAGCTCAAGATATTACACGACTGCTTCGGAGGGGCACAGCTCTTTACAGTGCTTACAGTGAGGCAGTGAATGATTTGCATAGTGTGAAATGTTTTCAAGTGGATTTATTACTAGTTAGGAGTTAAATGAACAGCACATACAAAAACGCAGTGGACAACAAGGGTTAGTAGTGATGATTAGGCTGTAAAGATCCTCAGTTAAGCTTTTGCACTATCAACATAGCAATGCCATATACAGTTATCTAACCATGTTAGCTTTAACGCTTCAACAAACATGTTTTTACACTGCTGGGCAGGTCTGCGCAACAGCAGTCCTTCTGCACACAGTGAAAACCGAAGTCTCATTCCATAGATCCAACAACTTGTGTTTGCAACAATTGTGTTAGCATACAAAAACTACAGCTCCCATGAACTTAAATACCAAATGCTCCTACGAGCTGTGCTGTGACATTTTAAATCAGATTGGAAGGGTGCCATAGAAATTCGGGAGAAGACAATGTGTGAACACAGCAGGTGATCACCTTCACCGCATGGGAGTGGGGGTTTGCTCACGCCTCCAACATGGGACAGACATAAATATGAAAAAAACTAAAAGAAATATATCTTTGGGTGAAAAAACCGTGTCATAGATGTAGAAGACACCGGGGAAGATGTCAAGAGAATTTGTGGTGATAAGAGATGGCGATGGTGTCGGAATGCTGTAAACATAATCACGTGAGCTCCGCAGCAGTTAATACGTCACTTCCTGTCTGCTGCACCTGGCTGCACCACTACACCAATTCTCCGGATTTTGCCCGCAGGTCATGTCTGAAAATGGCTATACTCATTTGTTTAAAATGCTCTCAGGCATAGACCCTAATAAAACCTTATGGGAGCTGTAGCTATTGAACACCAACAGAATGATTGTCATCTGGACATGAGAAAGGACTACAGCGAGAGACAGACATGTTAACAGGTGCTGCAGGTGAAGCCTTTCTCAAGGGGAAAGCTAGATGTTCCTCGTAGCTAAGCATATACCACAGAGTAGTCAGTTAGGGGCTAGATCAGGATTGAAGAAGTTCCGTCCCGTCAAAGTGACCCTGGTTTCAGAAAGTAAGACGAGGTTATTAATGAGTCCTATAGACAGGATGTTTCAGAGTGCTGAGGATGAGGTAGGACCACACTACAGAACGCCTCAAAGTCTACAACTACTGCTGAGTCCCTGAACTCAACCCAAATGCTACACAGTGCTATGAAGCCCAGAGGAGGTTCGGACTATCTGTCTCATCTGTGCTGGAGAGAGGAAGATGGATGTTTTCTAGGTCTCGAACATGCAAACCCTTTTACGATCTTCTCCGGGATCACCGCTACACAGCACACGCTTTTTACTGTATGAATTTTTCTGTGCATTTGAGCTTTGATGAGACTTTTGGCCACCCATTTGTGTTAAACCCTAGGATTTACATGATTCAGAGCAAAACTGATATTCAACACAATGCAAAAATAGTGAGCTCCAACCAACCACTGCCTGCATGTGTTCTTAGCAGCTGCATGTCACTGCAAAGAGTCTGAAATAATTCAATAAAGAGGGGAAGGGACAGTAAGCACGGGTATCCCACGGATACTTTTGGAGATTATTTCCAGATGTCAAATTTCCTGTGAGAGTCCTCAACTCAGATACTCAAGAAAGATTTGACCACAGATGGCTCAATACTGCTCAGGTGTTCCCATAGAATGACCCGTTATTCATATCACAACAATCAGAAAGCTTCAAACTCAAAGGTAGCATATATAACATCACTCCATAACTCTTAATGACACACAATTGCAAGTAACCCATTAACTTGATATCTCCAAGTTTACAGTGTTAATTCTGTTTGTGAGGAGTCATCAAATGCCACGTTAAATCATTCAGTAAAAATGACCATAATAGATGTTAGTCCACCAAATTATCACAATTGTTTTTTTGGGATCATTAATTAATTTAGAAAACATTTTCATATTAAGTTTTGCAGTGATGATAGACACAATTTCATGTTCTTTGGATTCAACAGAAACAAATGCCCCAGAAAACCAGTCGGGTTCTCTGCCAGACATTGTTTTAGTAACAACTGCACAGAACTGATAGGAGTTGATACAGGCCTGCTACTTCTAATGTGTGAATTCTATAGTACCCTTTCAAAACAACACAAAAACCATATTAATATTCACAGTTAATTTGCCTCCGGAATGTGGCACAGATTTGTAAAACATCCTGGTAACCTTCTTTACATGAGCAAACATGACATCTTTGACGACGATATCTTCATTTGAGTTAAAGCTGAACTCTTTTTCAGCTTCAGCATTATGGTTGCACTTGAGCTTTAGGGTAGAGCACGGACATCAGATTATCACATTCCAATATCACATTATTGCTGCCCAGAATATTGTTAATACTGTGACATCACTGAAAGCAAAAATAGTTAATTGGTTGCCTCTGCACCTCAGCAGACAGAAGCCTGCATGAGGCGAAAGGAATTCCAGACTCATGGAGTTTGTCTTGGTATGTGCACTTCCACTTAAATTCATTAAGTTAATATATTTAAAAATCCAATCGCACTTGGTGTGAATCAAGTTTAAGGCACGAGGATGTACGGGGCAGTGTCGTGTCGTCTGCTGTCGATACCATCATATATAGTAGCATGTGGGCTAGCCGCTGCTTTGACTTCAGAACACTGATACAATCCAATAAGGTAACCTGTGCCACAGCTCCATACATTACAAATGTTAGGGAAGAGCAGGCCTATACTGAGACTGTGGGGGACAAATATCAACAAATATAAAACAACACATGTCAAAAACCTGGCATCTAATCCGCTCTCGGAGACATTATCCTCCAGTGAAACATCCTCAGCGTCATGGTGACTGGAAGTGGCTGGTGCTGGGAGTGCACTGCTGTGGTCTGATTTACGTCATGCACCTGTCCCAGAGATTTGGAATCATCAGCTCGTCCATCACTTCCCTCTCACATTATGATCATGGATTGTTCACAGTTCAGCATGTCAGTCCCTTTTTCCGTCAGAGTCCATGTCCGTGTAGTAAACAAAGCTGCAGAGAAACAAAGCATGAACATGTCAGCATGGAAAACCACAGAAACAATGTTTCTACAAGAAAACCACAACTTTAGGAATTATTATCATCATCATCACTGAATCACTTAAATATAACTGCCTCAAGACAAAAGGGCTTGCTTTTAGAGAAGCTGCAAAATGCATCCACATCTTTAAGTAGGGATATGCTTAAAGGTGACAGGGTGCAAACAATACTGTTCAAACATTTGTGTATATGATACATATTTATGTCTGCAAGCCTTTAACATAGTATGCCCCATTATTAAAAAATAAATGACTGTTTGCTGGATTAGCTTGTTGTTCGAGTGAGGGAACAGAGACACCGAACACAATCTGACCAAAGTTAATTCAACTGTTGTGTTCCTTTATAAATTCCCTCTAAGTATATATGAGGATTTAATAGCATGTAGAATATCCATCCACCAGTACCATTACAACATGTAGCTGGTTTTAATGATGTGGCTGATCAGTGTCTTTGAACTTCTACAGGCCATATAAAATACCTGAAACTGCTCAATTAGTTTTAAATCAAATTACTGATGGGTCAGTGTGAGAGAAATGTAAGCTTTTGATCATACATTCATTTCCCCTGTATTGATCGTGTTGGATCCTGTACAAAGTGACCTCTGTTGATTGAATGAATCTTGGCCTGATTACCTAAACTAAGGCATTGTTGCCCACCTTGATGTCGTCAGAGGAACGAGGCAAAGGTATAAAGAGAAAGAGCAGCTTTCCATCGGCCACACATACACACCGATCTGCCACAACTAGGGTTGTCAAAAAAAATAAATACCAACAGTGCGTCTTCGCCTCATCCAGTTGACACAAAACTGCATACGGGCAGGCACACAGCCCCTCCTCTCACTAGCACCCGAATAAAAGTCGCCATCATAAAACTGACCTAACATGGCAAGTGCTGCTGCTGAAGGGCCTTAGTGACCAGTCTAAAATAAAAAAAGCTAAAGTGCTATTTGGCGCATTTTGCATACCAGGCAAACCACAAGGTAAAAGCTAAGGATGTTGATAAGCAAACAATCCAACAAAGTCGAGTAGCACAACAAACTTGAAGCATTTTAAAAGACCAACACCCCATTCTTTATGATGCATTTCAAGAGGTCAGTAAAGCTCCCGTTTCAACAACACTGAAGTATCAGACATTTGTTATAAACGTAAACCTGGTCGGCTAGCCTAATCAGCCAATAGCCAAATCAGTAATAAGTTATCATCAAGCTAGCAGTTATGGCTAATAATAAAATGACTAACATTATTAATGTGGGAGCTAGACAGCAAACATTATCAGTGTTGATCTAACAGGTAAACGAAATTGTTTGTCTAAAAAGTGTTATGTTTCACTTTAAGTCCCAGCTTGAAACTGCGAAAAGTCAACCAACAACTGGATATACACAGTGATGCTGATGTTATTGTCTGAATTTAACATCATGACAGACAGTGTTTGGTCATTGTCAATATGTCTCAACACAGTCACAGTTGCGTCACAGAGATAATATGCAGCATTTCTGCAATTACCCGCGGAAAAAAATGTCAACAGCACTTGACACCTGAGAGCATTACTGCAGATGTAGACAGGTTTAGTTCAGTGCTGTGCTCTAATAATAGCCCAGCCCCTGACATGCCACAGCTCAGGCAAGCAGCAGTTTGTTCCTCTTTTCATGTGTTGCATAACCTCACAGCACATGGTAGGAACACAAATGGGTCAGCTTAGTGGGATGCACGCATGCTGGAGATGTTGAATAAGAGAAGATTTAATATTCAAGATGAACTTCATTGTCCTGTGGGAAATGTTGTTTTTGGCTCTTTACCCATGCAGCCTTTAAAAGACAACAATTCATACGTGCACAAATGTTTTGTTAAATTAATAATAAACAAGGTTCTTTATGCACCTAATCTGCATTACTCATAAAGAAAATGTGAGGAAAAAAGGGGGAAATAATAAATCCTGTTTAATAAAATCAATGGGCACCAAAATCATTGGGTGCCCATCTCTGCCACAATATTTTATTGATGTTGGAACACATTTCTCAAACTTTTTATTCTGCTATGAGGGACTGTGAAGCTCCCACCAGAGGACAGTGCTTTGAACTCAGTGTGTAGAATATGGGATGGATCAGGCATTAACATGCCTCAGGGCAGTCTGTTCATAAATACACTGCGAGGATATGCATTGTTTTGATATGCTGAATGGAAAGTGCATTTGCCACTGCTGAAGAAGAGCCCTTCTAATTCTACTCATTCAGACAAACATACATAAATAAGGATTAGGCTTGGTCAACATGGTCAATAAAGGTTCCTGTGTGCCTTATTGCCACAGCACGGCTGTCTGGCAGTACACTGTCTGGTTAAAAGCCAGACACTATGGACCTGTTTTCTGGATGAGGGGTTGACAGAGGCTGTTGGTGCCTCATTTAACCTCCTTTGTTCATCTCTAGGCTTTGGACAAGCAAAAGGAATTCCATTCATTTCTGACATTAACCCTGTTTGCCCGTCATTTATTGGCATACTCCTTTAAAACCCCACTGTCATTGAGTCAACAGTACTGAGAGGCCTGCCTGAACTCAGCAGCCTGACAGTAATTCTTTATTATTCAAACTTTTTGTTTGTCATTTCTTTCTTGGCTCTACGGCAGCAGCTTTAAGCGTCCTCTCTGAGAAACTGTTGTCCCTGTGTGTGAACACTCTGAACTGCCTGACCTGCGGCTCACGTTTTACGAACATGCTTCTCATACCTGAGTATAGACCCAACCACGAAGAAGTTGCACAACTTTTCACATTCAGGCTGAGGTGGATCCGAATGACAACTCTCATCAAGTGCTTACGTGGCTGCCTCTGAGGTTTCTACTTTCCTTTTCTCCTGTTAAAAGATTGTTTTTGTTAGTTTTTCCTCACTCCTGTTAAGATTATAGTTTGCTTAAGATGGAGCAGCACACCATCAGAAAAGCTCTCTTTCTTTCAAAGTGAAGCGGGTATGAAGAAGGTGAAACTACTACTAGTAAAAGTATGTATGGGCAGCTGTTATAGGCACATTTCCAATACATAATGGGCTCAGCATGCTTCAGACTGGCTCAAACATGTGCTCAGAAGTGTAGGGAGGATAATGATAAGATTGGATCACCTGTCCTTGACCTGCTGAGAGTAAACCCCTGTCAGTTCCATTGGTGTTGTTTGGTACAGGACCCTGACCTCTCTGCAGTGGCATGGGTAACGACCATTTGTCCTAGTGAAGTACACAAACCAAATTTACCTCCCTCTGGACAGAAGGTACGTAATTAAGCTGTCACATAAGAGTTAAGCCCAAATCAAATCATCAACATAACAAGTCCTTTTCACTCGTATGCACACAGACATCCATGTGCAGCCCAAAACTGATGTGTGAACATGGTTGCCAGGTTGCGGATACTAAATGTAAATGCAAGAGGAATTCTGTCTTTCTTCTTGTTGATTGGATTAATATTGTTTTTTTATTCTCTTTTTTATTCTCGGTCACTTTGTGTTCTGTGGTCTAAATGCTGCTGAATGCTGCACCCTGGTAAAACTGTAAGGGTGCATCATATAAACATTTGAAACCCCCCTCTGATCAAACCCATGGTGAGGTCAGCAAATCATTTTTCTTCACACGGCTCTGTTGGAGGTATTACTGCGACATAAATAAATAAAACAAAACAAAGCAGAGGTCAAAACCGAGCAAATATTGAACAAACTTGGACCTGCTGCCTCCTTAGCCATCCTGCTGACTATTTATTGTTGCATAACCCAAAGCAGACACACTTATTAGAAACAGCTTTAGGGAAGTGGTGGGGGCTGGTTTCTTGTTATCCTGGGATGCTGTGGCAGCTCTCCATGATTACAAGAGGAAACACTGGCATTTTATATGCTCATAGCGGTTTTTGTGGGTGTGCTGCATGCAAAGCAACACATTCCTCATGGCATTCACGAACACTATTCATTATGTAAGTTTCAGTGCGTGCCTTTCTCTTGATGCCAACCTGACAAAGTATTTCCAGAAGGTTTGACACAGGGCAATAAAATGGCCACCTCAGATAATCATCGGGCAAATTCAACTATGTGACATTTCAATGGCTGGGATGGCATTCAGTCAAATGGCTCTTTCTAATAAAACAGAGCTGCAGACGAAAAGAGACTCACTCTTTCAGAACTGATTGTTGCTACTCATAAAATCCTGTAAATAGATGTCAACAGAGCTCCATCGAGAATACTGCCAAAGAAAGAGTGGGACGAAAAACAGAGACGGGTGACGGGAGAACAACAACCATTTTCCAGGATGCAAGGCAGACATTGGGAAAAATGCAATTATTATCTGACTGCCACAAAATGGGAGTAGGAACACCACTAATATTGTCAATTAATCTGTCAGTCTTTTTTTTACTCAATGAACTGCTTGGTCAATAATATGTTAGTGTCCCATGATCCCTGGTGACATCCTCAACTTCTGGGGATTACCCTGGAAGATGGAAAACTTTACAGAAACCTCAACGTTTCTGTAAAGTTTAGAAAACAGCTTACATTGGTCAAGGTTTGTTTCATTGTTTGTTTGACCCTCTGCAGCTCTCAGGTAATCCCGCCATCTTTAACTTCTTACACTCATTTTGTCACAGGACAGAGCGTGCCGTCGACAACAGCAGTGACACAGCAAATCCAATCTTTGCTTTCTGTGACAGATGCTGACCACACCTCTTTTCAATCTATTATTTACAGGTCAAAATGAGCCCTGACAGCTTTGTTAGAGCCATCAAACAATATGAACCGTCAGCAGTGAAAACACACAAGCACCAAAAAGAATCCAGCCAAAGTATTATCACGTACAGCAGCTTCAGTGAGCTGTGAGGGTGTGATAGACGGTGCACGGACTATGAGGAGATTAACACAGTGTAAAGAGCTTACAAACCATTAGATCCACCACAGCCACCATGAATGGGGACAGTGGACTGGAAAAAATGTGGAT